TTACCTCGTCTAACATGACGGATTGTTTTGTCCCTCTTTCTCTGTCCATTTGTCTCCATTATGTCCTCTCATGTTTTGTCATTATCACAGAAATGGGCCCCATGTAAACCAGGTAAAGTTATAGATTCATAGATGGAACTAACAATGACCGCATTCACATGAACACAAAGCTGTGTCTTATTAGGATTCTGATTCCACTCAGCGAGCACTGAGACGCTGTCCTTGGTGCTGAACCTTCAGCAGTCGCAACACCTCTGTGCTTTGCTGCATCTTGCTTTATGCAAGGATGCAGCACGGACTTTAACTATTGATAACAACCCCTACGATCTCTACATACTGTACAAACTATTTAGATCAGCTTTGATATTTACTTAATATTTTTTGTTGAGAGACTATACATTTTATGTATATACCAGTGTCACACTCCTGTTGGAAATAAACACATTTCAATACTTTAAAACTAGTACTACTACTACTACTGCTACTACTACCATTATTATTATCATTATTTTTACTATCAGCATGATGCACGTCACATCTCAAGACTTGCCAATTCTAGATACCCCAACGGGAAAAACTGAACTTGGAACATTAACCTAATTTTCTTACACATAATCAGTGTGGACAATGTGGACATGTATTCATCTGCTGCCTGGTGAGCAAACAATTTTAAATGATTATTTTTTAATAAATTTGAATCTCTGTCTCTACCACTTCAAGCTTCTATTAAGCTATGCAAATAGCAACTGGGCCAATAGGAATTTGTTTTTGTCATATCCCGTCTAGTGACATGTTGATGTATTCTGTGGGCCCTTTAAGACAGACTGTGTGATATCCTCAGTCAGTGGGAATCCAGTCGGAAGCTACACTTCACAGACTGTGCAATGCAGTTAGGGCAGGAAAAAGCAATTGCATTAAGAACCAACAGTGGATTTATCAGAGCTGTGTACTGTGTGAAGCAAAGGGTGTTGATTTAGCTGCCTCTTAAATATGAATGTTGTGTATTGTTTTTAGCCTTGGCTTAAACATTATTCAAGTTTATGGCCTTTCTCCCTCCTCAAAAGTCTTCAGAATAAAATTTGAGAGCACTGGCTATGGTTCAATAAAAAGGAATGTTTTTCACCAACCGACCATGTTTGAAAGGCATAAATTCTGTTCAATGACTAGCTGCCACTGTGGGTTGTCTTTCAAAGCATTGACTGCAAGTCTACTTTTTAGAGTGTGGGATTCACATTTTCACTTCCCCAAAAGTTAGCATGTCTCCTGCCCCACCCTACTGTTCCCTTTAAGCTATATATATATATATATATATATATATATATATATATAAAATCCACACTTTGCTGCAGCAAGGGGGTTGTGAATCATTGTGATACATGATGTGTTTGAGGGAGCAGTGACAATAATCACACAGCATAGGATATCTGGTACAATGCAATAATGTTTTTCCTTTTATTTTTCTGGTTGAGGGCTAAAAACTGCAGTAGATTACAAAGCCAATATTTTTGGTCCTTTTTTTCGAATTTTTGTTTGACTATTCACAGAAATATCGCACCGGTAACATTATTAGAAAAGCTAGTCATTGAGTGGACTAATGCCGGCAGCCTTGTCATGGTATTGACCTCAAATGAGACGTGTTGTCAGTCTAACTCTGTTTCCATCTCTCTCTGGCTCTCTTTTTGCGTCCCCCCCTCCCACTCTCCCTAACTCTTTTTCCTCTCCTCTCCTCACCTTCCCACTCTCTAAAAGATGAAACCAATTTTTCAGCCCCCGCAGGAGACAAATTACTCCTAATAATCCCTTGTTTCCTGAAGAGGGACTCTTTCTTTCCCACTCAGCCAAGAGACCAGAACTTTAATGTGTATGCGGAATTAGGAGGAAAATGTCAGCGAGGGCTCGGTGATGATAGGCAGTCTTCTGCTTTTCATTATTGCCCTGTAACAAGAGAACTCACTGCATTACCACATCGGTATTGTTGATAAGCTGACTTTTGATTTGGGAGATGGTAGAAGAGTTATGAGAGTTGAATCACCCAGGCAGATCAGACAGAGAAACAATGTTTAAAGCTGAGTGCTGAGTGCTCCTGATGCAGTAATGTGTAGTTTGTTGAACTATGTAACAGCTGTAAAGATCCCACATTTTGTCACATGGTTGTACATTCTGTGATATTATACTTTTATTCCATTCCTCAGATGTGGAATTGTTTAGGAAGGAGGATGCAGGACATTGTGAAAGCTTTTCACACTTTGAAGATTCTAACTCATAATTTGATTCCTTATCCTTCCATCCTCCGAACACCCAAAAACGTGGCTGCTTTCATCTCAGTGACCGTCACAGAGACCCCTCTCAAACAACCAACTAGCAATCAACACCTGGTCAGCTGTTTTGGTAAACAAATTGGGTGACCCCAATGGCTGGTGATAGCAGCCATTTTGATGCTTTTAGCCAAAGGAGAGGGCCAGTGAAGAGATGGAGGGAGAGCAAATTAAACTGGGAGAGTAGGTGTATGTAAACAAAGATCAAAGATATGTGTATTTGGTTGTGTGTGTCCTGTGTTAAAGTTGACTTACATTAATATACCTAAGTAACAAACATACTTATTTTAACTGAAACCATTATCTTTTGTTCCAATTCATAACGTGTTTAAAACTTTGACCATTTAACTATAACAGTGTACTAGCAGGTGCAGTTTGGCCGGTCTGAAGCATTTGAATGATAGTGAGAACAACTGAAACAACTATTTAATGGGCTGATAACACTCAAATGATTAAATGCAATTGCTTGTATACCAGACGGTAGTGGACGCTAAGTGATTTGATCAGTATGAAAATAGTGAATAACGCCAGGGCCTTCAGAGTTACTGGATCTCAACCCAACTTAAGGCTTATCATAGGAGATTTTGGACGCGTAAGAAAGTGCTCTCCACCTCCGTCATCAAAAAACAGCAGTAACTTTGGGAAGAATGGTGTTCATCCCTCCGGTAGAGTTCCAGAGACTTCTAATCTAAGAGGCATTGCAGCTGTTATGGGGGCCTGTGGTTACTTAGTCGTGCATTGCCAGACCTATCTGGGTTGTTGCATACTAGCATACAAAAACTATGATCCTTGCATCGGATGGCTATTTTTCAGTTCGTCCATGTATATTGTATCTATCCCTATTAAATAAACCATAAATAAATGAAGTCTACACAGCACTGTGTCAGCTCCACATATTATCATTCTGGTACAGGGTAAAAAACACTCTGGCTTGTTTGTATTTCTTTAAACCAATCACAATCGTCTTGGGCAGTGCTAAGCACAGGATGCAGCGATGGTTTTCCTTAACTTTGTCACCTATTCCTATTTAAATCCACAAAGGGACCAAATTGATTCTCTTCTGATGGAACAAAAGCAACCAAGAAATTGTGTGTTATTCAAAATATAATCATGTAAAAGGAGAATTACTTCAAGGCCCTCTTTGTCAAGTTGGTGGTAATTAATGACATAAACAGACACATTTTAAATTGACGCCTACAAAGCTCAAGGCTCAAATGTAAATACCAACTTAAATCCATGATTTTTAATAAAAAATATAAATGCTTCTGTTTTAACATTACTCACTCCAGAGCACTATTCACACTGCCCCCTTTAAAAAAAAAAAAGCTAGCAAAATCCCAACAGCACTGCTATTTGAAATGATGGTTTCAAGCTTGCTTTTGCAGTGTGTCAAAGAGACAGGGGTTGCAAAAGCCCTGAACAAAATTGGGTTTTCTCACTAGGGCTTTGCTGTTTGAAGGAGGGCTATCAGGCCAGATTAGCTCTACCTCAGTGGTAATGGAACTGGGAGTATTTTGAAAAGCATCCTCCTCCTCCTCCTCACTTTTTAGCCTGAGGTTCTTGGTTGCTGTAGCCAGAGCAGTGTTGTCTGTTAAGGGATGTGTCTGTTTTGATCTGTGAATGTAAGAAGTAATGGTGAGACATGTTACAGATGAAAGCCGACCATTTTAAATGCGATCTTTTCCTTCACCTGACCCTGTCTGATAAAAGGAAGAACAAGTCCAAAGTCATCATTTTTATGTAAAGGTTTGCTCTCTTTTCCAGACAGGAAGCATTGAATTCAACTCAGTTTTGACTTTTTGATGCCAAATATACCTAATAAACCTAATTACCTAATGCGCAGACATTTGTATTTTATAAAAGTTTATTTTAACTTTATAATTGTATTTATACATTTGAACATTATTTCAGTTTTGTATCTATACGATAGGAACTGCTCGTGACAATGATTTGCCAGCAAGGAGAAATAATGGGAAATGTAAAGATTGGAAAGGAAGGGAATGAGAAAGAGTAAAAAAGTGTATTGATGATTTTCTTTGTCGTCATTCACTTTCTCAGAGTTGCATTGTTGCATTTTAATCTAATTACATCACATTATTTCTTTCTCTCTTCCAAATATGCAAATAATGACTTATGTTCAGTTTTTATTACTTTTTATGTGAACTTAATATTTTTTTGTCAATTGTTTGTGTCAATGCTTCTTATAGTTACACTAAAATCTAGACTCAAAATAGGACACAATGCCTATGAAGACCTAAAGAGGCCAGCTGCGCTTAAGGCTCACCAGGACTGACACCTGCCAGCATGACGCATACACGGGGGAAGCATCAGTGCATGAAGGTAGGTGTGTAAGACTGTACCTGCTTGGTTGTGTATCCATATTTGCGAGGCTGCTTGTCATTTTGAAACCTGTGAGGGTGAAACCTGCTGTGTGTGTGTGACCAGGAGGCTTGTAGCAACAGGAGGGGGTAAGCAAGCTGACCTTTCAAGCTTTGATCAACCTGAGGGAAGGGGATGAGCTAGAGGTGTCAGCAGGAAGGTTAGGAGGAGGGAAATGGAGGGGAAAATCTATTCCAGCATAAGAAATGTGTGCTGCTGGGTATATCAACATGTATGCTCACCGATATCAGGAATGCAATTCAATATCTATCTGTATCTGTGCTCATCTATCAGGTCATCTCTTACCTCAGCTAGTGGTACGATTCCCTGTATGTCAGCGTTGCTGATGTAGAGGTGCGAGACTTTCTCCGTTTGCCTGGAAGATGTCTGCATGCCAGTTAGGTACTCGACGTTCCAGTGTAGAGTCTGGGTTGGCACCAGGTTGATCACATTATCCACCTCAAATTCCAGCTGCATCACCTCATATGACGGAGTTTCCAACCTGCAGACACGGAGAGAAAGGGGAAGGAAAAAGAAATGTATTTTTTCAGGATATTTAAATCTTTTACATTTTCTGTATTTCCTGCAAAGACCTCATCTGAAGAGCCCAGATAACTACGCTGACTGGCCAGACAATGTGAAGAGTGCCCTGGATAAACATTTCAAAAGAAACACTGATTACTGGTCACATTTTAAGATGATAATGCTTGCAAAGTGCATTGTAAAAACACAGCAGCATTGGTGACCAAAGAATATCACTCTCAGGTCTCATTTAGGTCAACGCAACCTTTATGTCCACTTCCTCATAATAGAACAATACTCTGTCACAGATAATGGTAACTTTAAGTTCAGGATTTCGTTTTTGTCAGCATCAAAATATATTGTATCCCAAGTCCAGAGTATTTGAGTAATCAGTGAAACAATAAAAGCCCTCAACAATATTTGGAGCTGAGAAAAAATAAATCTGTTGTTTACGTCCCCGCCAAGCATCTACTGCTCCTTGTGAAGATGTAATTATGATGATAATAGAGGTGATGACGGCGAGGATCTTGATGATGGCGGTGATAATGATGTGCTACTGGCTTGAGGACTGCTCAGAAGAGGACAATGCTATCCACACGTGCACATGTGTGTGTGTGTGTTTCAGTAAGTGTGTGTGGGAGAGATATGAGGAGTCAAATAATGGCATCCAAAAATAATGAGACATTTTACAACTTAGGAGCCATTCTGCTTTATGCTTTATGCACTCTAAAAAGTGCATTCATTTGCCTCTCTCTTTATGTTGGTGTGTGTGATACTATTGTTCTGTTTACAATGCTGAAGTTCTGTGTTATTACCACGGACTAGTAGCATTGCTAAATATGTTTTTGATGCAGGTTCATAGCTACGTTATGTTAGCTTAGCTTAGCATAAAGACTGAAAACAAGGGACATAGCTAGCCTGGCTCTATCTAAAACAGAAATAAATCTCGCTACTAGCACCGCCAAAGCCACTGAGTGATTCCAAGAGACATTATCAATCTTAAAATCATTACAAGGATCTATCATTTATTATCAAAATAATCTGTTAATAACATCTCCAGATAATCACTTCCAGTTTCAATTTAAACTTTCTACCTGGCACCTTTAAAAAAAAAAAAAGAAGGAAATCCTGTCATTAATTCCAACTCTCTATTCTGATTCCTACATACAGAGATTTGTCATTTTGACAACTTGGATTCGTGCTGCACATCATGCCCTCACAGCTTTGTAGACTCATTACCCGCTTTTACTCTCTGCCTGTCAGACTGCTTCTCTGCTGCTAGTGTGAATAACACACCGTTGTATCATTTGCCCCCACAGAACATCTTTGCATCTTCTTCTTCTAGACCTCAGCCAACGATGTCATAGTTATTTGGAAGTCAGGGTCCTGGCCAGATTCAGAATGAATCAATGAATGAATGACCAAAGACACAAAATCAAAGAAAATGCCCACACGCTCAATAAAATGTTCAGTTGGTTGTGCTTTTATCTGGAGCACACAGAGCAAAAGAAACACGGCAGTTTTAAATAAAACAATATCTGAAATGTGACAGTACGTTTTCCACGGTCAAGATAGTAGTGAAATATACGCACTTACAGTTCCCAGTGAGAGCATCCTGGGTGGGATTTTAGAGATAAACATTAAACACGCACCACAGTCGACTGTTTCACAGTGTCACGAGAGATGAGTGTGTGTGTCTAGGCAGATGGGGTGAGCGATGTCTTACACGGATAGATTAAGGAGGGAAAACTGATGGGTGTCAGCTCCCCTTGACCTCTTCCCGATCCTTCCATCATGCTTGCTTTTCTTTCATCTACCCCTCCCCATATGTCTGCTTCTCTCTATCTGTTACCAAACCCAGCCTGACATCATATTATAGTCATCCCGTCTTTCAACAAAAACCACAATTTCACCCCAGCCTGCCTACATGGCTCCCCTTTAAAAAAATCGTTTTTTATTTCATCATTTTATCATTATTGCATTAGTGGCTTTAAAAGTGGCAAGCTCCTGTTTTCAATGGCTGCTATATGGGACAATAAATGATGTTATTGCAGATTGCGATAAAAAACACAGGTAGTGAGTTGATCATGGTGAATTTCCATGATTGGGATGATTGAGAATATCCTCATGAGTGACTTGAAAAATCTGTCTTGCTCGCTATCAGGGAAGTTATATTTTCATAAACCCATTTTCATTGCATTTTGAAGTATCACGTTAGAAAAGCTCTATGGAAATGACAAAAATTCAGTAAAACTTCCTCAATTGCTCGAAAACGTTTTTATTATTATGTTGTTTTGACTTTTTTAAAAAGAGTTGGTGCGCTATGGGGATATGGAAACATCTTTGCTGAATAAGTTCTGACATAGTGAACATTTAAATCACATGATAATGCACAGAAACATGGCTGGTAGAAGCAACAACAGGTATGTGTGGCCCGATGAGACCGAAGTAGAAGTAAAGAACTAAAACTCTCTATTTTTCTCTCATAGATGGCGTCTTGTTTTGTTTCCGGTTCACAACCTCTACTTCTTCTATTGTGTTTAGTGGCAGATTACAGCTTTGCATAAAGCGTGGTCTACACCGCCAACTTCATATAAACAATAAATCTTGTCCCCAAAAAGGACAAAATTAAGATTACGCTTGTGGAACCCATATAATGGCCGTTTCTGAATCACGGTTAACTCCTGCTATTCCTGATTCTTTTCTCTCAATACCATCTATAGGAGAGATTGCACTGATAAAACTGGCAATGGAGTTGCTTTTTATGCGAGTCAGAAATGTGTACACTCAATAACACAAATTGAAACTGAGACGTTGCAATTGGTTGTAAATTTGACATGTCAACATGCAATTACTGTCACATAAGGCCCCAAATGTCAGTGCAAGTGTTTATTTATCGCTGCCCACTGATGTCGTAAATCCGTAAAAATGAAGGAGCTTGTTATATTGGGTGAAATCAATCTGGACTGGAATGTCAGCTCAGAATCACTGAAAGGTACCGCAATAAAGCTCGATGTCTATCAATTAATCAAGGAGCCGGCTATAATCTATAACACTCGCAGTTCAGTCCTTGACCTGATCTTTACAAAACAACCCTCTAAATATGCACCGTCTTAAGTAATTCACACCACAATATCAGCTCACTCACTTATTCACGCTGTTAGGAAAACCGTCAACACCCTGAGAAGCCCGACTCTCCACTTTATCTCAAAAATATCAAACTCAAAACTACTTCAGTTTAATGCAAAAATCAGAGAGATTGATGAACTGTCATTTGACAGACGGGAAGAATTCTGAGTTCAAATACTACGAAAAAACTATGTCACTGCCTACAAGATAATCATGGCTGACTGAACTACAAGAGATAAATTCAGAAATCCTGCAACTATTAGAAATCGATATTCTTTCTCTCAATATAAATAACTCCTCGGAAAACATGGGAGAGTAACAGACATTTCATAGAGCTCAGCAAAAAATACTACTACTGAACTGCACAAGGCTATGGCTGTGCATTTTCAAAAATAATTATTTAAACTGCCCAAAACCTAAAACATTATGGCACTGAAAAAGACACAGAAAAGACATGTAAAAAGAAAGACAATATCAATATTTTTTAACAATTTATCAATATTAATTTACAAGGCACTCCTACTACTGAAGTGAAAAGATTGTAAGTGGTTTCAATAATTATTTTGTTACATCTGTTCAAGAATCCCCCCCCCCACCTGTTTCTTCTTCTACATCCACCAACTTTCTTTCTCCGAGATCACACACAATGAACTGTCTGATATTTGGAACTCTTTGAAACATTCTCCCGCTTGTGATGTGTATCAATTAAAAATGCATTTTCTTGAGACTCATGCTGACGGCTCTATGCCTCTTCTCCACTGTCTGATCAACCTGTTTGTATGAGGCCGTATATCTTTACCTCCGGCTAGACAACTTCTCAAATCAACACCATTTTTAAATCTGAGGCTCCAACTTTTGTTTCAAACTCAAAGGCCAATATCCTTTTTCCAAGTTATATTTCAAAATGATTGGAAGGAAAGTCGTAAGGGTGCTGGACAGATGTGTTAACTTATAGTATTTAAAGAAGATTTGGTGTATCCTTCCAAGTTGGACTAAGTCCTTATTGGACTCACATCAATGAGTGGTGTGCGTTCTATCTAAACATCCAGGCCTGCATTATTATTATTTAACATATATATGTACTTCACTCAATAAAGGTCGTGTTGTTGGAGGCATTTCATTGATTTTCATAAAGCCTTTGATACAGCGAATCATGACGTCCTGCTGAGCAGACTCAGCTCATTTCAACATTCCTCTTCTCTGGTAATGATGCTCTCCTCATATCTATCTAACTACTACACACATCATCCAGCCATTACATTTTACTCTCACACCCAGAACAATAACTCCCCTCCACCACTTAATGCTCTACATCCAAGACACAACTCAAGTCAGGAATACATCACAAGATCAATTTTGCATGCACTTATTCCATTACTGCCTTGCAAAAGCAATTATGGTCAGAGATCTTTTTTTTTCATACGTACACTAAAATCTGGAATGAGATCCCATATCACATTAATACAATAACCTCTATTACACATTTCAAACAGGCATATAAGCACTGTCTGATGGAAGAAAATACCTGCCACTACTGATTTTACATATTGCTCTCTCCTCTTAAGTCCTCTCCTTTGTTATGTCTGCACAGCTGTTTGTGTTCGTCCATCTTGTTTTGGTTTGTGTTTGCTACGGTAATGTTATTCTGTCTGTTATGTGCTGCAGAACAAGAACAGAAGCCTGGCTCGACTTGATGGGTTTTGGGCGGCAGTAGTTAACATCATCATAGGTGCTCGGCTAAATGAGCTCAAGTCTACAATCTGGTAATTATTTATGTTCACATTATATGATACGGGGTGGACGTCAAACATTCCCATGTTTAGGACTTCACATCATGGGACGACTCAAGAC